AAAGCCACTTTTGACTATAAAGAAGACCAGATAGGTTAAAAGTAAAAGACAGGAAAGAGATAAATTATACTAACACTAAGGAATATAAAGTAGCTATATAAATTTCAGACAGTGGGATTTCAGAGCATAGACTATTATTAGAAATAAAAAGAAGGATAAGCTTTTAATAGTAAAGTTGTCTGTCATCAGGAGGACATAACACTACTAACATTTATGCAACTAATATCAGAGCTTCAAATATATGCAAAAACTGGAAGAATAGAAAAGAGAACAGATACATAATTATAGTTGGAGATTTCAACATCCTATTTCATTAATTGATGAAGAATACAGAAAATCAGGAAGAACACAGAAGACTTGGAATAACTCTGTCAGCCAACTAATTACATGGATAGAACACTCTCACCCAATGGCAACATATTCTGCTGAACATTTACCATGATAGTCCACTGGAGCATAAGCAGGTTCTCTATAAATTTAAAAGAATTACAATTATATGAAGAATGTGTCACAACAATGGAATGTAAGAAATCAGTAAGAGAAAACTAAGCTTTTGAATATTTCCAAATATTTGAAACAAAGAATACAGTTCTAAATAGTCAACCTACAGATCAAAGAAGAAAAAGCAAAGGAAAATTTTTTAACAGAAGGTACGAAAATGGAATTTCAAAATTCTTTTGAAAGAATCTAAAGTAGTGCTTTGATGTTTATAGAATTAAATGCTTATATTGAGAAGGTAGGTCTCAAATCAATGGCCCGAAGCCTCCATCTTAAGAAACTAGAAAAGAACCAAATTAAGCCCAAAGTAAACAGAAAAAGGAAACGTTATAGATTGTGAAGAAATCAGATAAATAGAAACCAGAAAATTAGGCAGAAAATAAGTGAAACCTAGTATGTTTCGAGAGATTAAAATTGAGCCTCCCTTGCCCATAAGTTAAAGCTCCAAAATCTTGCAGTAAGCTGTTCATACTCTGGTTGGTTTAGCCTCTCACGCATTTCTGACATGATTTTTTATTTTCTCTGCTGTGGTTATGCTGGCCTTTCAGATATTGTCCGGCCGAATGGCCCATGACTTTTTGTACATTTCTGTTTGCCTCTCACCCCAACTGTCTCAATGTCTTTATTTCCAACTGTATTTTCAGCTAGTTAATGCCTTCTCATCCTTTAGATTTCTGTTTGATAGCTCGTCTAGGACATAATCACCCTTACCCTAACCTGTAAACCTACTAACCTAACCTGTAAACTTACTAGGATAGGCACTGGGTTTGTTTGACTCAATATTTTATCTTCTTCAGCACTTACCATGCCTGGCTCGTGTGGATCTGCAGCAAAATATTTGTTGTATGAATGAATTATTTCTAGTAGTGGATCTATTTTCTTAGGATATGCTGTTCAAGACATTACTCCTTTCCTGCATCTCTGAATCAATATTCTGAGGACTGGAAGATTATTATTGGCTTCCTTGGGCTTATGAGATTAGGGAGTATGTAGAGATTTCACCATCTCCCACCACCCTCCCCTGGTACTTCACATATTCATCCATTTCTCTATGAAATATCTGCTGGAAAGTCAAGTTCATTTTGTCTTCTTCGGATGAATATTAAATTTAGTGCTAGAAAGTGTCATCATTAAGAGCAATTGCTTGGTTTGTTTCATTGTATCACCCATACTAAAAAAAAGAAACTTGTAGCCAACTTGTGCCAAATAGCTAAAGTAGTGGTAAATTAAAGGATTTTTGGATTATTTCCTCGCAGATACTTCTTGTAGCTAAAATATCAATATTTTCTTAAACGAAATCAATGTTTCAACACTCTGATTTCAAGAATTATGCACCAAGAGGTTATGTGCTGGATGGAATTTGTATCCTTGGACATCGTAACTTTATTGGCATGTTGGATTTTTTTTTTATTCCTCGTACACCTATGATAGGCTCAATATCACCATTTTTTTTTAAGGCAAACTTTTAGTGATTTGCTCACAGTCTCAGAGCTAACATGGTATTAAAATACAAACCTAATTATCGTATGTCAAACCCATCGGTTTTCGCCGCCACCTCTACTAGAAAATGTAAAACTATTAAACAATTTTGCCATCCCAAGGACCAATATTTAGGTCCTCACATTACAACAATTGCCAGCAATTATTTCAGTTTGACTAAGACACAGTCAGTTGAATGGTTTCTAAGCGAAATTGTGATCAGCTATTCACAGATAGCACCCTGGTAAGAAAGAAGTAGAGGTAAGATTTTGCCTTTTCAACATCAACTTAGTTATGTAAAATGCCAATTTCTATAACACAAATCATATGAAAACAGAGCAGTGGAAATAGTCTAAAAATGTGGTAGGAAAGAAAATTTAAATGCTTAATGTCATTTAGTAGTTTGCCATCAACTATGAACGCTGAAAAAAACAAAAAAAAAGATTATTGAAGAGAAATGTTGTGGCTTAAGAGTTATAATTTCAGTATTATATTCAGGTGAGGTTGTTGATACAGAAATTAGAGAGGGAGGGTAGTCCAGAAGATGAGTTGCATCTTGTTGCTGAGGCTATGTCTGAGACATTTAGTCTTTAGCAGATAGGAACCTACGTGACAAAAATACCCTGTCATTTCTGAGTGTCACTGGACACTTGATCATCATTTCTTTCACAAAGATATGAACAGAGGACAGAGCCTCTTCTCAGTGTCCGAGAACAAAACAGACAGTATAGGATGTATTCTTATTTTCAATTGGGAGAAAATTGAGCCATTATTTCTTGTCATCTGGGAGCTTCAAGGTTTTGAGGAAATAGAAGAGGAGTCTAGGCATTAGAGAGAGAGGCTGTAAAGAATCCCACATAGAAGAGCCAAAGAGAAATGTGTAAAGGTGCAGAGGCCCCCTTGTATGGGATGAGACAGGTTGGGATTAGTTTGTGTTAATAGTTAAGGAAAAAACTGGAAGATAAAGATAATGAGGAAAAGGGATATAAAGTGAGAAGAATCTCATGATTTTGTACAGATTAGACTGTAGGTTTTAGAATACATAAGCTCATTCATAGATTAAAATATTTCATATTGTTGTTGGTTAGGTCAAGGCAGTGACAAGAACAAGATCAGAAACTTGAGAGACAACCTTCAGCTAAGTCGCTTGTTGCTGAGCTATGAATTGTGACTCCTCTATTCTTTAGCAGATAGGAAACTATGTGAAAAGAATCTTCTGATGTAATAATTTCTGCGTCACTGGAACATTTGATCATCATTCCTTGGCAATTCCAGTCTTCTGAAGGTCAGACGCATTTGATTTATTCACCTCTGCAGGAATCAGATCAGACTATTTTGGTAAGTCTATGGCTCTTGATTAAGTTACCTAAAAAACTTCATACTCAATGCTAGTTAGATAGATATACTAACCCATAGATTTTACTGTGGTTTTACTAACTTGTCATTGAGCATAATTTTTTCCTGATAAAGAAACACAGAGTCTATAAAAAAAACCATTACATATAATATTCAAATTATTAAACTTTAATTTTATTATTACCATAACAAATACTCTATAAAGTTAGGCATAGAATAATGCCTCTAGGCATAAGAAACCATAATAAGACATATTAATTTTTTCCTGTCTTTTGTTGAACATATGTAAATTTATGTTAGTTACTAACTACTGTGTGCAAGCCACTGTTCTAGGTTATTAAGGATTCAGTCAGGTGGCAAAGACAGGCATGAAATAGGGATGCTGGGCGGTGTGGACAATGATTACAAAAAACACAAAAAAATTAGGACATTGGTTCTCAACATGGGGTGATTTCTTTCCCCTCTTCAAATTAGGGGACATATTTGGTAATGCCCGAGACATTTTTGATTTGCTCACAACTTTTTGGGAAAGGGTGATGTTGGCATGTAGTGGGTGGAGGCCTTAGATGCTGCAAAAAAATATCCCACAAAGCACAGGCCAACTCCTTCCTCCCAACAAAAACTATCTGGCCTCAAATGTCCATAGTCATAAACAGTTGAGAAATCCTGAATTAGGCGATACCTATTACATACAAAGCCAAATGTGTACCTGGCTAGTGCCGTGAAAACTTATATAATGTAGTGGTTATGAAGGCTTCCCTGAGAAAGTGAAATGCAAATCAGACTTAATCAACTAATGAGTTGGTCCTAGCAAGTAAGGAGGGAACAGTGTGTGTGTGTATATGTGTGTTTGAAGTGTACGTGTGTGGTATCATATTTATCATATATCTCACATATTCATTATGTTAAATTGAGTGTGTGTGTGTGTGTGTAAAAAATAATATTTACCAATGCTCAGCAGCATCTGCTGGTAATAATAGTTAACATTTATTGAACACCGACTATGTGTTAGGTATTGTATTTTACATGTGGTTTACATTTTGCCTAATTACATTTTGTACATTTAATTACATTTTGCCTTATTTAATTCACATGATTACCCTGGAAGTAGATAGTATTATTCCCCAATTTATCCTTGAGAAACATACTTGATCAAGTCCCTTGCTTAGGTTACATAGTCAGTCTAACTTTCCAAGGCACCCTCTCTCACCAAGGTGCTATAAAATGTAGAGGCAGGGGAAAAAAGAATGATCATCAGGAAGAGGGTTGATGGAAGGTGTCATGGAGGATGGAGGCATATACTTCAAAGGAAGAGAAGGGCTGAAAGGTAGAGAGAGGCAGTGAGAGAGGTAGGGACTCAAATCTGTTGATTGTAACAGCCATTTCAAGCAAACTTTTTTTTTCCTTCCACAATAGTAGAAATAGACTTCCGTAATTTAACCATAGGGCATAGTTCATAAATTGTGCTAATGGCTTTTTATATTTGTTGCCTAAAATTATAGTAAGGAGGAGTTGTGTAATATGGCATTTATATACTTTAAAGATATTTTAAAAACGTCATTTTCAGCATGTTTCTATATAACTGTGACAAAATAATACAATTAAAGACCTGAAGAACTTTTTGAAGACAACTCACCCCCACCCATTATTTTAACTTTCTAATCTAGGGTGTTCTGTGAATTATGCCTTTCGGTTTGGGACCCAGCCAAGGAAGTTTCCAGTGGAAGGAGGAGATTCCTTCAGTTGGGCTGGAATCTGGGCTGAGCTCCAGTGCTGCCTGCTGTAATGGGAAAGAGATGTCACCAACTGTGGTATGGTCTTCTCATCCTGATGGCTGAGGAAATGTGTAATAGCTATCATCAATATAAGAAGTTGATGTTCAGTATTAGCAAGAAAGCTCGTATTAGTTAGTAATTAGTATTAACAAACTTTGCTGTTATGAAATTAGTATTAACAGATTCCAGGTTTTCTTAGCACAGTTTGTTTTTGGTACCCTCTGTAAGTCTCAATGATAGACTAGTTCTTATTTCATTTTTTTTTTTTTAATTTTTTCCCAATGTTTATTTATTTTTGGGACACAGAGAGAGACAGAGCATGGAACGGGGAGGGGCAGAGAGAGAGGAAGACACAGAATCGAAACAGGCCAGGCTCTGAGACATCAGCCCAGAGCCTGACGCGGCTCGAACTCAGGGACCGCGAGATCGCACCTGGGTTGAAGTCGGACGCCTAATCGACCGCGCCACCCAGGCGCCCCAGACTAGTTCTTATTTTTATTGTTATTATTTTCTGGTAAATCTTTTTGGCTAGTTTGTTGGTGTTGGGTTACAAGAAAAGATTACATTCATTTAAATAAGCAAATTAGTGCTTTACATGCTAGGCACAAGGCTGCAAATATGAAGACTATTATCTCAGATTTAGTGTCACTTTTGCTTTTGATTTGACCTTAGCAGAAAGATAGTGATATAGAGTATGAATGTTCTATAAAAACAAAATCATTTTTTGCAAAATTGAAGAAAAACTATAATAGATGTGTTCCAATTTTTCTGCTGTTGCTTACCATTAATTACTACACCTTAGATTTCTCATGGTTTCAGAAGCTTTTAGAACACAGATTTAAGCCTAATAAGGTACTTTAAAAAATCAGAGTTATTTAAGGATGCAGGGGTTATTTTGGGAAGCACTAAGCACTTGTTCTTAGAAATGTTTGAGGTTGTGATTATCTGGTGGAATGATGGACTAGAAATTTAAGTACTAGATGCTTCAGGTAGATGTCATTTAAGGATCCAATCAACATTTGAATAGTACATGGAATATGTTCTTCTGGTTTTATATTTTTTTCCACATATTCTAGTTTTTTAAAAATTTTTCTTAACATTTATTTATTTTTGAGACAGGGAGAGACAGAGTGTGAGCGGGAAAGGGGCAGAGAGAGAGGGAGACACATTGTGAATCCGGAAGTAGTCTAGGCTCTGAGCTGTCAGCACAGAGTTTTCTGAGGCCCGTGAACTCCAAACTACAGATGGTGACCTGAGCCGAAGTTGGACGCCCAACCGACTGAGTCACCCAGGCACCCCCCACATATTCTAGTTTTTAAATCACTCAATTGAAGTGATTTTAAGGTGCATATATATATATATATATATATATATATATATATATATATATATAAATTGCCATAGTAGTACCACTATGTTTACAACTATGCACTCCCCATGAGCTTTTTTTTTTTTTTTTTTTTTTTTTTTTTTGCCATTTAGCAATCACTGTATACCTTTCAAGATGGTCATTTAGAGGATTATTTATGAATTTCCTGTGATTAAGGGTATGTCAATAATCATAATTTCTTTGCAACATAAGTCTAAAATGTCTGGCTCATCAATGTCACTGTGTTATATTGTGACATTCAAAGATTTCAAAATGATTTAAAGCAGTTGATATGCACTCAAACTTTGTTGCTTTGAAAAAATTTCCTTTTTAGTATCTAACCACGTGTGCTTTGCTCTTTCATTCAGGCAACTCCGAAGGTGCCCTGGAAGTCATTGCCTGACAATAACTGACGTTCCCATCACTGTCTATGCAACAATGCGAAAGCCACCTGCACAAAGCAGCAAGGAAATGCATCCTAAATAGCATCATTAAGTCTTTTGTAGAGGTTTGACTAGGTCAAGGGTAATGGACAAGTATCATCTTATGATGTGATAAACAAATAAAAGCAGTGGCACCTTTGGACGATGACAACAGTTGAAATATTTCCTCTAAGTAAGAAAAGACAATGTCATCTGCAAAATGTGTGGTATTAAGCCATCAGTTATGTTTGATGGATAAGACAGAATAATATTTCACAATTAGAAGGTCCTTTAGAGATCATCTTGTTCACAGTGGATCATTAATATCAATGTTTCAAGATGAAGGTTAATTCACCTTGATTATCAGTCATGAAGGGCCTGTTCTAAGTACTTAATGTGTTTTAGGCTGGTTTCCTTTGTTTATATTTGGGTTGCCTCTTACCTGAATCCTTTTACTTGAATACCTTAATACCTGGCTTGACATCTTTTGATAATGTTTTGCTTAGGAATAATTATATTGGGTAAGAAATGGAGCCCAGTAGATTGTGCATTTGGGGAAGAATACCGAGACCAAAGAAAGTTCTTAGTCATGGTTCATCTGCAAATCATATAAACTGTATATGGGAGCTGAGGTTATTGGTTAAATTTGTTGTAAATGAGGGTGAGGGCCATGTCTCTATCCCCTATTTTCCATGAAAAAATTACGTCCCATCATTACACTGTCCCTTAGGTCACAACCAGTCATCTTGAGATTGTTTACAATTGGTAGTGAGAAGCCTCAGGTAGATATTTTTGTTTGATCAGACCTACAAATAAGTTTTGAGGGCTAGGTCTAGGCCAGCTGCTATTTTTTTTTTTTCCTTGCACTACTCCCAAGAAACTTATCCTGCTTTATTTTCCTTTTCATGGTTACCATCCACCATCCATCCTATGACATTGTCTTCTCCAAAAGACTAACTCTAGGGTCAAGTACAGTTCCCTTAGTTTCTTGTCTCCCTTGCTGCACCTGTAGATATACATATAGGCCTTTTTAAATGAAAGATTTATTAGCTTATAATTACATGGATATATGTACATGTGTACTACATGAAGTGAAAAAGAAAAATTTCCAGGGATGTATAAATGGAAAAATACTGAGTTTTATAATGTAATATATAACAATATATATTAATACATAGCATATAATATAAACTGGAAAAATTCACACAGTGCCCAGAGGTGTTTGAATTCCAACCAGACAGAGTGGAAAGACCTTGTTAAACATGGAGCATTGAAGGGAGACCCCAGAAAGGTCACACCTTAGTAGGAGGTCTAAATTAACACTAGATTGAAAGCTAATGCATACCACCTTTAACAAAGCTTAAAAATAAGATTTGAGAGAGTCAAAGTGATTCTTTTTTTTTTTTTATTAAATTTTTTTTTTAACGTTTATTTATTTTTGGGACAGAGAGAGACAGAGCATGAATGGGGGAGGGGCAGAGAGAGAGGGAGACACAGAATCGGAAGCAGGCTCCAGGCTCTGAGCCATCAGCCCAGAGCCTGACACAGGGCTCGAACTCATGGACCATGAGATTGTGACCTGAGCCGAAGTCGGACGCTCAACCGACTGAGCCACCCGGGCGCTCCTCAAAGTGATTCTTAAGTAACTTAATTACCTGACAAATAAAAATTTAATACTTCTTAAAATAAAATAACAAAATCCAGGAAGGAAATTGTCCAAGGTGGGAAAGAACAGTAGAAAAGGAGAAAGGAGTGATGACTTCCTCAGAGTCCATACAAGGCTGGAAATAATTTGTGTTTAAATTATACTGGAAAGATCTTTTAATACATGGAGCATTGGAACATTTAATAGAGTCATCAGCAAGATATTGCCTTAGTGGGGTTGGCTTTGGGGTGGGAGTTAGGAATAATTTGAGACTACAAGTTGTCCTGGACCTTCCCTGAGAAAGCTTAAGAGCAAGATTTGAAAGGATCAAACTGATTCCAAGTAACTGAACTACATTCAAGGAGGGAAAAAAGCCATAAGCTTTAAAGAACTACAGGGGTGCCTGCCTGGCTCAGTCAGTACAGCATGCACCTCTTGATGGCCAGATTCTAAATTTGAGCCCCATGTTGGGTGTAGAGATTAATTAAAAATAAAATATTTTTTTTAACATGTATTTGTTTTTGAGAGACAGAGACAAGAGACAGAGCCCACAGGGGAGGGGCAGAGAGAGAGAAGGAGACACAGAATCCAAAGCAGGCTCTAGGCTCTGAGCTGTCAGCACAGAGCCCAACTCAGAGCTCCAACCCATGAACTGTGAGATCATGACCTGGCTTAACTGACTGAGCCACCCAGGTGACCTTTAAAAATAAAATCTTAAAAAAAAAAAAAAAAAAAAAAAAAAAAAAGAAAAAGATGTAAAGAACAACAATAAAATCCAGCACCAAAAATGTAAAATTCACAATGATCACCATCCAATAAAAAATTACCAGGTATGCAAGAAAGGAATATACAATCCATAGTCAAGAGAATTATTAAATGTCAATGGAAACAGAATCAGAATGACAGATGATAGCATTAGAGGACAAGTTACTATAAACAAGTAGTTGATGAAAGCATAATCATGATGAAAGAAATGGAAGGTATAAAAGGACCTAAACTGAACTTTTAGAGACTAAAAATGCAGTTTCTGAAATAAAAATATACATGGAATGATATTAAGAACAGATTAGACACTGTAGAAGAAAAGATTAATGAACTTGAAGACATACAAATTATCCAAAATGAAATACAAAGAAAAAAGGACTGAAAAAATAAAATTTGTGTTTCAATATCAAGCAGTCTAACATATATGTAAGTGACTTCCCATAAGTGGGGGTGGGAAAGAAAAATATTAGAAGAAATAATGGCCAAATTTTTTTCCATATTTAATGAAAGCTATAAACTCACAGATCCAAGTAGTTTAACCAACCCCAAGAAGAAGAAACATGAAGAAACTGAAATGAATGAAAGAAATTTAGAGAAATTTAATATAATCAAATTATCTGAAAACCAAGCATAAAGAGACAATTTTAAAATGTGAGAGGAAATTCATTCAGAGGAACAAAAATAAGAATTAGAGAAACTTGTCATTAGAAATCATGCAGGCAGGAAGGCAATAGAACAGTTTTTTTAAAGCATCCTTCAAAAGCCACGAAGAAAAGACTTTTCAGCCAGAAAACAAAGTGCTGAGAGAATTCAACTCCAGCAGACCTGTATTATAGGGTATGTTAAAGGAAGTTTTTTTAGGCAGAAAGAAAATGACATCAGATAGAAATTTGGATCTGCAAAAGAAATAAAGAGCACCAGAAATGGAGACTATGCAGATAAATATAACAGCCTTTTTCTCATTTTTAAACATTTAACAGGTAACAGTTTAAAGAAAAATAATAACAATGATTTAAAAAAAATTTTTAATGTTTATTTTTGAGAGAGAGGGAGATAAAGCATGAGCAGGGGAGGGGCATAGAGAGAGGGAAACATAGAATCTGAAGCAGGCTTCAGGCTCTGAGCTGTCAGCACAGAGCCTGATGCGGGACTCAAACTCACAAGCTGTGAGACCATGACCTGAGCTGAAGTTGGATGCTTAACCGATTGAGCCACCCAGGAACCCCAATAAAAATGATTATATAAAGGTATAATGTATAATAAAAATAGCCAAAAGACAGGAAGTTTACTCTTATGTTGTAGACTATTTATGAAATGGCATAATGGTATTTGAAGATAGACTGTGTTCAGTAAATATGTAATTGTAAACTTTAGAGTTATCTCTAAAAACAAATGGTGACAGAGCTAATACCCAATAGTGGAGATAAAATGGAATAAATATCACTCATTCCCAAAGAAGGCAGGAAAAAGGGGAAAAAGGAACAAAGAATGATTTAAGCCAAACTATATTGATATTTACATGAATCACAAAAGGTCTAAATACTTCAATGAAAAGGTGGAGAATCTCAGGTTGGCTAGAAAAGGAGATTATCTGAGCCCAATTTAAATACTAAGAGACACATAAATTAAAAATATAAAGTATAAAACTAGATATACCATGTAAACATCAATAAAAATGAAGTTGGAATAGCTTACGTTAATAATAGATAAGACAGTTTTAGAGCAAAGAATACCACAAGGAATAAAGGGAGACATTTCATAATTTTAAAAAAGTCTTAATAATTTTAATGTTTATGCAGAACTTCAAAGTACACCAATCAAAAACTGATGAAATGGAAAAGAAACAACTGCATTCATTCATAATTGGAGATTTCAACATCTGATAGTAGAATGACAGTGTGGCAGAAACTACATTTTTTTCACGTACACATGGAAAACTCACCAAGAATATATCACATCGTAGGCAACAAAACAAGTCTCAATACATTGAGATGTAGGCAAAATATGCAGAATTTGCAAGCATATTCCACAGCAGGATTAAGTTAGAAATCAATGGAAAAATATCTGGAGAACCCCAAATAGTAGGCTACTAAGTGACAGATTTTCAAATAGCCCACGAATAAAGAAGGAATGACAGGAGAAATTAGAAGAGTATTTTGAATTGAATGAAAATGGAAGCAGAACGTATCAAAATGGATGGGTCTCAGATGAATAGTAGTGAGAAAATGTAAGTTCTTTCATTAGAAAAGAGGAAACATTGTCAGCGAATGATCTAAGCTTTCATCTTAAAGCAGCAAAGACGAGAAAACTAAACCAAAAATAAGCAGTAAGAAAGAAACAATGAAGACCAGACATCAATAAAATAAAAATAAATAACGGAGAAAAATCAATGAAGCCAAAAAAGCTGGCATTTTGAAAAGATCAATAAAATTGATAAACCTCTAAACAGAATTACCAGGGAAAAAAGGAAATACAAACTGCTGTTATCAGGAATTAAAGTGGAGACATTACTGTAGATCATAAAGACTTAATTCATATTAAAAAGATGAACCAATAAGTTTTCAACCAGTATGAATTCTTTAGTCCTCTATAGCCTCTGCCTTGAGTAAATGCCTTCCTACATAGCTCACATCGCTAGATACGGGCTTTCTGTA